GTGGTGGTGAGCCCAGATCACGTCATTGCACTCCAGCCTAGGCAACAGAAGCGAAACCTCATCTCAAAAAAAAAAAAAAAAAAAAAAAAAAAAAAAAAAAAAAAAAAAGAAGAAGAAGAATTAGTGAGCCGAGATTGTGCCAATGCACCCCAGCCTGGGCAACAAGAGTGAACTCCATCTCAAAAAAAAAAAAAAAAAGAAAGAAAGAAAGAAAGAAATAATTAAGCTGCAGGTCCTCAGACCTGAAGTTGCTCCAACCAAGCAGCCAGGAGGGAAAGCATATTGTTTACTTATCTGAAGGCAGAATTGAAAGATTAGAAATATATGTAAAATTCTAATGCAATAAAAGGGAACATGATAGACTGGAAGTCACAGCATTTCAAGGAAATGAGTCCCCAGGAAGAGTCAAAAGTGTTAAGCACTGTGAGAGGGAACTTTCAGGAGGCTGACAGCGTTGTGCTATAGCCTAAATGATGACTAGCCTCAAAACACATCTAACATGGACATCTAGACTTCGGAGCCATGTGAGTGACACAGGAAACATCCAGCACCTAAACCCGATCCTTGCCAGTTTTAGAATTTCCCTTTTCCACTGCAACTTGTCTGGAATTTCATAGAAAGAGAATCTGAAGGCTGGATGCAGTGACTCACACCTGTAATCCCAGCACTTTGGGAGGCCAAGGCAGGCAGATCATCTGAGGTCGGGAGTTTGAGGCCAGCCTGGCCAACATGGCAAAACCCCATCTCTACTAAAAATACAAAAATTAGTCGGGCATGGTGGTGCAAGCCTGTAATCCCAGCAACTTGGGAGGCTGAGGCAAGAGAATTGCTTAAACCCAGGAAGCAGAGGTTGCAGTGTGCTGAGACCATGCCATTGCACTCCAGCCTAGGCAACAGAAGCGAAACCTCATCTCAAAAAAAAAAAAAAAAGAAGAAGAAGAATTGAAGCATTCAAGAATTCAGGGCATTATGCAATATTTAAGTTGTCCTGTGGTAATCTTGCCAAAATGAAAGGACATTCTCCTGCCTAAGCCTCCCGAGTAGCTGGGACTACAGGCGCCTACTACCACGCCCAGCTAATTTTTTCTATTTTTTAGTAGAGCCGGGTTTCACCATGTTAGCCAGGATGGTCTCGATCTCCTGACCTCATGATCCGCCCGCCTCAGCCTCCCAAAGTGCTAGGATTACAGGCGTGAGCCACCGTGTCCGGCCGCTAACTACAATTTAAAGAATGAACAGTCATGCTTCCAGTCTGGCTTGAATCAGCTCCCATCAACTTTACCCACCACCAACTTCTTGTACTTTTGATGGGAACTAATTAAGCTCATGTGGTGTTTTCTTCCCCCACATTGTCTTCTGCGGTTTTGGAACAGAGCACACCAAATTAGCCCCACCTGTTTGAACGAGAAGGTGGTTATTTATCCCACCGATGGGCAGACTTTCTCTCCTACCTAGAAGCTGCCTTCCAAAGTTCCCAAACACCATGGGATGACGATAGTAACCCCAACTCCTAACCAGCTAGAATCCTGAGAAGAGCAGTTTAGTGTTGTGTCAGTGGTCCATCTTTCGCCAGTTCACAGCAATCATTTCCTCAAGCACAGTAAAATGTCTAAGGAGGCCACAGAGTCCTACCAGACCATCATTAGAGGCAAGAGTTACAACATTCTGGCCAGGCAAGAGTTACAACATTCTGGCCAGGCATGGTGGCTCACGCCTGTAATCCCCAGCACTTTGCGAGGCCAAGGTGGGTAGATCACTTGAGGTCAGGAGTTTGAGACCAGCCTGACCAACATGGAGAATCCCCATCACTACTAAAAAAAAAAAAAATTAGCCGGGCATGGTGGTGGATGCCTGTAAGCCCTGCTACTCGGGAGGCTGAGGCAAGAGAATCACTTGAAGCCGGGAAGCAGAGAGAGGTGGTGGTGAGCCCAGATCACGTCATTGCACTCCAGCCTAGGCAACAGAAGCGAAACCTCATCTCAAAAAAAAAAAAAAAAGAAGAAGAAGAATTGAAACATTCAAGAATTCAGGGCATTATGCAATATTTAAGTTGTCCTGTGGTAATCTTGCCAAAATGAAAGTATTTTTTCATTAACTATGCTCCAACAGGAGAGCCTAACGAATTTTAAGAGTGTGGGAGTCTTTTGACACATAAAGTTACTTTCCAAAGGAGGAAATAACCCCAGCGTTCACACATGTCAAGGAGCAAAGTTAAAGGAAACAAGCCATTGACAGTGCTGCCGCCCACCTGGGCCAAGGCGTCAGGCTCCCGAGGTGATGGCTTTCAGCCCCTGGATGACACTTCTCAGCCTCAGTCAACTTTAACTCCCATCCCTGCAACTACTAAATTGGTGAACATAAAAGAAAGAGAATCAATTAATATTTGGCAGTCATGATATATTGTTACTCCTGATCCAAGAAATCTTTACGTGGTTAAGAAAGTAACTAGGTCGGGCGCGGTGGCTCAAGCCTGTAATCCCAGCACTTTGGGAGGCCGAGACGGGCGGATCACAAGGTCAGGAGATCGAGACCATCCTGGCTAACATGGTGAAACCCCGTCTCTACTAAAAAATGCAAAAAAACTAGCCGGGCGGGTTGGCGGGCGCCTGTAGTCCCAGCTACTCGGGAGGCTGAGGTAGGAGAATGGCGTAAACCTGGGAGGCGGAGCTTGCAGTGAGCTGAGATCCGGCCACTGCACCCCAGCCTGGGCGACAGAGCAAGACTCCGTCTCAAAAAAAAAAAAAAAAAAAAAAAAGAAAGTAAATAACAGTACATAAGAACATCCTAGTCTCACAGTGGAAACAGATTATGTTCACTTACAGAATATACAGCAGGGGTACCCAACCCCTTGCTGGGTCTCTTATAAGAGAGGAATCACAGAACCCTTGTATATAACATAAAAATAATTATTAACAAAGAATTCTCTGTTCTTAATTAGTTCTAAATTAGTTACTTAATTATTATTTGTGTGTGTGCTTACCCTAAGTAGACAAATAGGAGGTAGAAGGAGGATAAATAAGGATTCAATTGAATCAGCAGTTTTCAATTTTTTTTTTTCTTTTTTTTTCCGAAACGGACTTTCACTCTTGTTGCCCAGGTTGGAGTGCAATGGCGCGATCTTGGCTCACCACAACCTCTGCCTCTCAGCAGGTTCAAGTGATTCTCCTGCCTCGGCCTCCTGAGTAGCTGGGATTAGAGGCATGTGCCACCACGCCTGGCTAATTTTATATTTTTTAGTAGAGATTCTCCATGTTGATCAGGCTGGTCTCCAACTCCCGACCTCAGGTGATCCACCAGCCTCAGCCTCCCAAAGTGCTGGGATCACAGGCGTGAGCCATCATGCCCAGCTTAGTTTTCAAACATTTTTTTAAAGGTTGAGGAACTCTGTTAGTTAAAACATATCCATGCAGCCCCCACTATCTGAGATGGCTCAAAAGGAACAGGTCTGGATGAGGAGATACAGAGGGTTGAACATTTTCTTCTGCTTCAACCCCATTTCTTGAGGAGGTCCTGAGGTTGGCATAATGAAACAAAACTATTTGAAAGGCACGGAACTAAAGTGAATCCAATAGTAAGATATTTAAACTGAGAAATGCAGAAGCTTTTATGATATTTTATAGCAAATATACAATTTTGAACTACTAGTATACATAAAAATTAAATATATAGCACCTATACTATTTAGTTACTGTTTATCACATACAAGGCCAAATGTGCCACTGACTATACACATAAAGGTTTTCACAAACAGCCAAATTTATTTCAATGCACCTGAGTGAGAGGAGAACATAGCCATGAAAGATGGTGATGACAAGGAATTTCAAGGACAGGGAATATGAGCTACAATACAATGTTAAGTAATAAAAGAAGAAGTTTTTTTTAATATATAGATACAGCATTGTTTCACTGATTTTATATATATTAAAAATATGATTTTATCTATATATAGTGTCTTTAGGCCGGGCATGGTGGCTCACACCTGTAATCCCAGCACTTTGGGAGGGGGTTGGGAGTTCGAGACCAGCCTGACCAACAAGTAGAAACCCTGTGTCTACTAAAAACACAAAATTAACCGGCCGTGGTGGTGCATGCCTGTAATCCCAGCTACTTGGGGGGCTGAGGCAGGAGAATCGCTTGAACCTGGGAGGCGGAAGTTGCGGTGAGCTGAGATCGCACCATTGCACTCCAGCCTAGGCAACAGAAGCGAAACCTCATCTCAAAAAAAAAAAAAAAAAAAGTGTCCTTAAGCAGTGGACTAAGTCTTTGCTGTTTTTAAAATGCCCACAAAAAACGATTTGGAAAGGATACCTACTAAAACATCAATGCCTGTAGAGACTACAGGCAATTCATTGTTCCTTTAAATTTTATGTTGCTTTCCAAAAGAAAAGAAAAAAGGAATGAAAAGGGGGAAATAATTAGCCTAGACATCCTTTGGGCTTAGAGTCAATAAAAAATGTAGTATACACTGGTGAATAGTAAAAACATACTTTTTCCTTAAGTTAAAAAAATAAAAATAAAAATAAAAATCTATTCTTTTAATGAATGCAAAGGTTCGATCCTATTGCTCCAGCCAACACTCACTCAGTTTGATATCTGCAGCAGAACTGGGTCAGTCCTTTAGGGATCTGAACTTTTTACCCCATACTAGTGCAGTAGCCTACAGATTGATACCCCAGGAACAGCTAGCACTGGGAGAAGGACCAAGGAGAAGCCCAAATTGGAGCAGCTCTGCTCACAAAAATATATTCTCAGGATTCCCACTCACCACATCCAGGTCCTGGGAAACCCGCCGTTTCCGCAGCTCCTCCATCCTCTCGCACACGTCGGAGAAACAGGTGTTGTAATAATCTGCATACTGCTGCGCCAGGTCATCGATGTTTCCCAGCGAACCGTCCTGAAGGGGTAGAAAAACGAAGGCGGTCAGGTCAGTGCACCCGGGAAAAGCTCACAGCCATCAGACCTCCCTCTATGCAGAGTTTATAGTAATAAAGGCCGGTATTTAAGCGGGAAACATCAAGTGCCAGGTTGTTTCACGTACAGGATCTCCTACTCCTCAGGGCAGCCCTCTGACAGAGGCCTGTTTTTTCCTCACTTGTATTGATGGGTAAACAGGCGCTCAAAGAAGTTGAGCGACTGCCCACAAATCCCGGGACTAAGAAGCACAGAGGCCAGCTTTCCAACCTGGGACGGTCTGGTGCCAACATCAGGGTCTTCGACACCCATCTCTCTGCCTGCCTAGCAGGGCTAAGAGAGGAAACACCAGGGAAGCACCTTCAGCAAAGGCACTGTGTGAGGAAGAGGCTCCTAATGCCCAGTGTGGCCCCTGGCCTGCATCACCACCTCCTGGGAAGCTCATAAAAGAGACAATGTCAGGACCCCTCCCAGGGATTCCGATGGGAGCCTGAGAATTCAGGAACTGGCAGAGAATAGAATCTGAGACAGATCTCACTGCACCTCTCAGGAGACCCTCAGAAAAGTGGAAAATCTTTTTATTCATTAGTCATTAGTATTCATCAATATTCATTATTATGGTCATTAATATTCATATTATTCATTAGACTTATTATTCACTAGGCATTCCAAGTCCAGGTGCAAGAGTACACGTTACAAATTCACCTGCATAAATAAGTAAACATGTCACTTGTTTCTTCCCCAAGGCAAGTGCCACGTAATTGCTCTAGAGCTCATTCTGAGGTTCCCCCCAGCTCCACTGAGCCTTGTACTGGTTAAGTGGCCTTAGGTATGTCTCTTAACCTCCGAGGAACACTGAATAATCACAACACCTACTTCAGTGAGGACTACTGGAGTAACATGTGTGAGGCGCTTAGACCTTAGCTGGCTCATGTAGTCCACCTGGCATGTAGTAAGTGCTAAAAATCTCTCACAGTGTAATACTCACTGCAAGATTTTGTTCCACACTATAGTCTTCCTTTAGAGCAATGGATTCCTAAATACACACCTGAATACACACAGGGAGGATGACAGAAATGCCTTGTACATTTGTAAGTTATGCCATTTCTTCTACCCATTCACTCATTCAGAAAGACCTCTCCTCCAGCTCTTTTTTTTTTTTTTTTAACCTCCCAACATTCTGCTCTTTGATTTAAATAAATGACTTTACCAAGACAACCAAGGAAAATACGACTTTTAGATCACCTAAAGCCACACACACATTTTCCATTTTACAGACTGCTAGCCAGCCCTTCAGTTATTTAATGTTGGTGCACTGCCCATAGCAACACACGCCTAACACTGCAAAGCAGGCTTAGATGCAAGCAGGGCTTGCAAGTTGGATTTCTCCCAAAGCCTTTCTGCTAAAGACCTACACCCTGGTCAGGAGGCCTGGGGCAGATCAAGGATCATCTCTACCCTACTTCTGCATTCACTGATTTTATAGAACCACGGGAGAGGAGAAACCGAAACAGGAAAAAATGACACTTTAGAAAGCTCCTTGCTTCCCCACCAATAACATGTTCTGCGTTTGAGCTGATGGCCTCAAAGTTCCTAGCACAGTGTGGAGACAAGAAGGACTCTTCCAAGGCCAGGAAGATCTTTGAATGTGTCTGGACAAAAGTCACTCCTTCACTACAATCAGTCTTGTCTGTCTGAGCCCACAGTCTGGACTGGCACAGCAGGCAAGGTGGGAGACCCCCGCTCTTCAAAATGTCATCTACTGTCAAGTGTTCAGTAGAAAAACAGCAAAGGTCAAGACGGAATCTGCTGCTGCCCCTCTAAGGACACACACCGTGGCGCTCAGCTTCCTGGCCTCTGCTGTACTGCCTCCAGGAAAGGAAACTGCCTGAAAACAGAACCTGGGCCGGGCGCGGTGGCTCACGCCTGTAATCCCAGCACTTTGGGAGGCCAAGCCGGCGGGTAGATCACCTGAGGTCAGGAGTTCGAGACCAGCCTGGCCAACATGGTGAAATCCCATCTCTACTAAAAGTACAAAAATTAGCTGGGCATGGTGGCACACACCTGTAATCCCAGCTACTCGGGAGGCTGAAGCACAAGAATTGCCTGAGATCAGGAGGCGGTGGTTGCAGTGGGCTGAGATCCCACCACTGTACTTCAGCCTGGGTGACAGAGTGAGACTCCATCTCAAACACAAAACAAAAACCCAGAATCTGTCTTGGAAGAAGAGGGAGCCAGAACAGAATATCTTAAGGTGAGGTTCCTGAAATACAGCATGATAAACTGATATTAGGATCCTGAGGATCCTCCGACTCATCACAACTCAACCACGCATGCCCCAGGATCACAACTCGACCATTTCCATCTACGGCCTCCCGATGGCCCAACTTTGCCCAACCTGCCACCCAAATGACCTTGCTAAAGATCAGATGGAATCTTCCCCACTGAGATCCTTTCATGCACCATCACCCATCCTACAATATAAACCCCAAATGTACCAGTCTTTCAGTAACCTTCATCTGCGGTCCCCACGCCCTCCATGCAGTAGGGGCCTGAGAGCACCCAGAGAGCAACAAGCAGTTCCTCCTGGAGGCTCGAAGCAGGCCTTCTCCCACGCATCCCCCGTAACCCCATCAACACACACCCCGAAGAGTACTGAGGGAACTCCTGGAGGAAACTTTAAGAGAGAAGGAGGGCAGAAGAGCAGCTCCCATGGGGGCGTGGGTTCTGACCACCAGCTCCTGACAGCTGTGACTAGGAGAGCAAAGCGCCAGCCCCTGGGAGGGAAGGGCTCGATGCCACAGCTGCCTCAGCTATTCGAGCACCTGGGGCCAGGCGCCTGGCTCACGCCTGTAATGCCAGCACTCTGGAAGACCAAGGCAGGCAGAGACCAAAGAAGCAGCAAGTTCTGCAGCGGACACCAGCTGGGTGTTTTCCAGTTCAAATCTGACACTACCAAACTGGAGACAGCCTCATAACCCACAGGCTGAAGGCTCAGTCCTAGAAGACTGCTCTTCACTTCTGATGCCAGAAGCAAGCTCCAGGTTGTTTTCCCTGCTACAAATTGGGGTTCCCACGACCCCCTTTTGGGGCTCAATTAATTTGCTAGAGTGGCTCGGAAAACTTGGGCAAACACTATACTTACATTTACTGACTTATTTTAAAAGAATTCACAAAGGATACCAATGAAGTATGAAGAGATGAAGAGATGCATAGGGCAGAGTACTGGGGAAGGGAGTTGGAGCTTCCCTGCCCCCGCCAGACCCTCCACCCTCCACAAACCTCTACGTGTTCAGCTATCCAGAAGCTCCCAGAACCCAGTCTGTTGGGGTTTTTATGGAAGCTTCATTACGTAGGCATGATTGATTAAATCAAAGGCCACTGACTAGCAGCTCAACCTTCAGCCCCTCTCCCCTCCCCAGAGGTTGGGGCTAAAAGTCCCAACCCTCTAATCCAACCTGGGTCTTTGCTGTGACCAACCTCCATTCTGAAGCTACCTAGAGTGGCCAGCCATCAGTCAACTCATTAACATACAAAAAAATACACTTATCACTCTGGAGATTCCAAGGGTTTTAGGAGTTTGCCAGAAAACAAGATTAAGACCAAAAATATATTTCACAATATCATAAAACCAACAACAAGCCAACTCTTCACTTCAGTTCTGTTTTCCCTACGAGTGAAATTCTCTATCCCATTCCCAATCACTCAAAACTCCCCCAATAATCTGGGGACCTGAAAAATATATTTGTTGCTCCTGAGGAAAAGAGCAGCTGTTCAACTCAACTCAGGCCAAAGAAAGCCAGCATTTCACAACCTACAATATGCCGTAATAGCCACTCCTCACTCCAGATAATAATTAGAACAGGGTGGCACAGCTGCTTTTACATCTTCCCAAATTACTTTCCAGATGTGCAGTAAGTCCCCATAGTTACCACTTCCATCAGTCTTGATGATTTAAACGCCAAGAAAGGCAACAGAATAGAAGAATGCACATGTGTGTTTTTAAGAGTGGGTTTTGTCTGCCATCCCACAAAAAGAATCCTTTACATTCCAATCAATGAAACCAACCAACCACCCGATGATTTTCTTTACCCACTCAAAATTCAGGCTTTACAACATGAAATAGTAAGGATAATCATCATTTCTATGTTATATGGGGGGAGGGAGATGAAACTCTGGGAGTGATGGATATGTTTATGACGTTGATGGTAGTGGCATATACTTATTCCCAAACTCATCGAGTTGTATACATTCAATATGCACAGCTTTTTACTTATCAATCATACCTCAATAAAGCAGTCTTTAAAAAACTATGCTTTTTCAGGACTGTCTGACAATGTTTGCATTATTTTTATTCAGCTTGTTCCTTGAGATAGTTACGGACCTACTCCATAAAAATATTTAATTTTACTAAAAATACTTGCAACATGAGTCTGCAGGAAATTTAAATAATGCAGCTGAGGTTTCCATAGGACCACATGCTGCATCTTTATGGAAACACAAAATCTATGTCTGAGTCAGCATCCCACCATACTAATGTCAAGCACTGATGTTGCAAAATAAACTTGTAACTATAATAAGACTTTAAATCATCTCTACACTTATTATAACATATATCGTGATTAAAACACTGAAATGGATTCTTTAATAAGACTTTAAATCATCTCTACATTTATTATAATAAATATCATGATTAAAACACTGAAACGGATTCTTTTTTAAACCTTTTAAGGTGTTCAGAAGTTTCTGGTCTGGAGTTCATTGCTTGCCTCATCTGTTTCACTTCTTTCTTATTTTCTCTCTTTGGTTCTCTGGCATTAAGCTTAAGCAATATTAGTTCAAGTTTAGGTACATGGGAAAACTTTATTTCCTCAAAATAATTTTTTGAGAAAATTGTGAAATTTTGAGTCACATGATATTTTTATGAGAATTTTCCCACCCCTTTCTTTCAAAACAAGAAAAGAGATACATGCAGATTCAAGT